AAGCAAGACTTCAATAGATGGAAATTGATGCCTCTCTGGCTCTCGGGAAGGACTGAGACAACAAGATTGAATGTACTTCCAGGATTTCTGTCTTGACCTTCCTTATGCCTCTCAATGACCACTGCTAAAACATCTATTTCATGTGGTTTAAAGTCAGGGACCAATGCTAATTCTCTCAATCTCTCAAAAAGACTATTCCTTTCTACAGTATATTTTTTTCATAATACTCTTTTTCTTCTATGCGATTACTGTATTAAAATTGCTTAAATTATTTATTTTCACAATGCGTCGAGTTAAATTAAGTATAAAACAAGGTTTCAAGTGAGATGAATACCTCTTCACCATTTTGCTGGGGAGCTGTTGCTCAGGTAGTTGAAGCTTTAAGCTGAGCTCCACAGAAATAGGACTGTAGATTAATAATAATAATTGCTTACACTTATATAGCACTTTTCTGGACACTTCACTCAAAGCGCTTTACAGGTAATGGGGACTCCTCTCCACCAACACCAATGTGAAGCATCCACCTGGATGATGCAACATCAGCCATAGTGCACCAGAACACTCACCACACATCAGCTATCAGTGGGGAGAAGAGCAGTGCAATGAAGCCTATTCATAGATGGGGGTTATTAGGAGGCCATGATTGGTAAGGGCCAATGGGTAATTTGGCCAGGAAACCAGGGTTACATCCCTACTCTTTTCGAGAAACGCCCAGGGATTTTTAATGACCACAGAGAGTCAGGACCTCCATTTTACATCTCATCCGAAGGACGGTGCCTGTTTACAGTATAGTGTCCCCATCACTATACTGGGGGAGTAGGACCCACATGGACTGCAGGGTGAGCACCCCCCGCTAGCCCCACTAACACCTCTTCCAGCAGCAACCTTAGTTTTTCCCAGAAGGTCTCCCATCCAGGCACTGACCAGGCTCACACCTGCTTAGCTTCAGTGGATTGCCATTTGTGAATTGCAGAGTGATATGGCTGCCGAGGAGTAGGGATGGATTTGGGAGAGTTTGAGTGGTGTAGGTTTTACCTGAGATTTTCTTCCCTGCCAAATAAAATTAGAGAAATTTGACTTTATCTGACATTACAGGGATAAGTTTATACTATCACTTAATTGACAAAGAAGGCAGTGTGGCATTTGAACACCATCAATATCACTTTTATTAATCAGTTACCCAATTCAAGGTCACAGTTACCCAGAGCCTGTCCCAAGAAGCACTGGACACAAGGCAGGATTGAACCCTGGACAGGATGCCAGTCTATCAAAGAGCACACACTCATACCACACTCATACTCATACAGCTTTCCCAGAAGTCTATTAACCTGTCAGCATGTTTGTGGACTGTGGGAGAAAACTGGAACACTACACAAACATGGGGAGAACATACAAACTCCATACAGATAGCACCCCAGGTCTGGATTTGAACCCAGGGCCCCAGTGTGATATCTCCTGCAATGAGCTGATAGAAGCAGTAACCTGGAGACTGCATCCAGGTGCAGGCTCTGCTGGACGCAAGCAGGGCAGGCAGGAGAAAGTGAAAGCAGAGACGCTATTGAAAAGGCAGGGGTTGAGTTGAGAGGAACTGATTAAAGCACCAGGGAGAGTCTGAAAGAGAGTGGTTTAAAATGCAGGGTTAAAATTCAAAGCTGAGAAGAAGTAATTGAGAATCTAAAGAGAT